CCCCAAAACCCCAAAACCCCAAAACCCCTTATTTTTACAAGTTATTGAAAAAATAAATGAACCCAAGGAATAGTGATGCGAATATAAAATCCCGGAGACAACAACTCTTACTCGGTATGGACAAGGCTTATCTTCAGATTATCAACCGATAGGGCTGCGTCAACCGAAGTTCAAATAAGTTGAAGCTCTCACATCGTAATATGAAGAATTACACGACGCAAGAAACTCCTGTTATAGATGAGAGGTAGGAAAACATAGTAACTTGTACAGGTCTAGACGCCTTAAGAGCATCAGTAGTAGGCCTGATAATCTTGAAGAGAAGTTTCTAGAACAGCCTTCTCACCAGAAAAGGTATGCTGATAGTGTTTCTCTACCAAAGCTCAAAAATCCCCCACAGGATAAAAGTAAGAATGAAGAATTCAAAACGAAACTGGTACTTGACTCAGAAGATCTTGAAGAGAAGCTACTACCTAGGAAGCCTAAGAAGAAGACCAAGAAGAGAAAGCGTATTGGGTCTAAAGATAAACCAAAGTATCTACAGCCTATCAATAGGGATGTCCACCATGCTCCCATGGCGACACCTCCAGAGACGAAGTTCTACTCTCAGCAGAAGAAACCCAGAGAGAAGAAGAAAACTCAAGAGCAGATTGAGCGTGATGAATTTGTAGAAGCTTTTCTTGAGAAAAATTCCCATGTTATGCATGTAAAGTCTCAACAATATGGCCTCAAGCCTAAGAAAGAGAAATTTAAACAGTTCAATTTGAAGACCGATGGAAGAGCCAATGAGCAAGATAAGGCTGGGAAATTGAGCAAGAATCAGACAAAATCAGTCCCAATTGGTAATTCTTATCTCATATGTAGGCATTAAGACTAGATTTGGCCAAGAAGAGAAGAAGGATAAAGCGACTGAGAAATCATCAAAACGTAAAGCCAAAGGCCTCGAGATGGCAAAAGCAGTTACAGAACCTCCTAAGCCAGAACCGTTCTTGGACTTTGAGAAATATCTTGACATCGAGGATAACTTCATGATCGAGTCTGAACTTACCAAAGATCAAGTCACAGAATGGAGAGCGCTCAAAGATCAAGATGATAGTGAAGATTTTTGTGGGAATGAGGATAAATTAGAAAAGAAATTCCGGTATTGTTATAAAGACTTAAATAAAAAGAAGTCCACCAAGCTTATACAGGAGCCTAGCTTGATTTCTATCGAAGCTATTGTCCAGAACCACCCAGCTCTTAGATTCCTAAACCATGATTTGCTCGTGAATATCCTTAAAGAAAGAGATATTGAGTGATTCAAGATGAAGAAGCAGATTATTACCAGTAAATCCAAAGCTGATCGCATCTATTTTGTCCTGTTTGGCCTCATAAGGCTAAAAGAGGTATCTAAAGAGGAATATTACGGAATATGCAAAGTAGGATGGCCCATAGGGGAAGAATTGCTTCTCAACTCTGGCTCTGAATACACAGATACAGCTCAAGCAGGCAATGAAGTAGGAATTATCTATATTACTCTCTCTGAGTTTGATGAAATCCAAAAAGGAACTGATAAATCTGAGTACTCAAGATTCTTAAGGAGACTTCAAAAGTTCAGTTTCCTGAAGAAGCTTATGCGAAGAGTTAACCTTAAAAAAGAGGAGTAATTTTTCAATATTCTCTGATAAATTAGGGGTTTTGGGGTTTTGGGGTTTTGGGGTTTTGGGG